ATTTATTGTAGAGATGAGGTCTCGCTGCCCAGGCGGGTCTCGAACCCGCGGGCTCAGGCAATCCACTCACCTCAGCCTCCCAAAGGCGCGGGATTACAGGCTGAGCCACCGAGCCCGGCGCACATAACACTTTTTATATTATAATTCTTAGTAAATAGATGTCAAGCCAGTAACACTCTACCTCATATAAATAATCTATTGCACAATATTTGAATGCTGAAAACATATCTTCTTTCTTTGAAAGCAGTACAGATTTCAGCATCTGGAAATATAAACATTAAAATTAAATGTTGGTAAAAGAGCAAAGCCAAGAGTAGAAAATTTCTCTTAATCACAAAACCTTGGTTCACTTACTTCTTAAAAAGCTCCGAATGATAAAAATTGATTTAAAAATTAACATTCATTACTATGATTTTAAATTTAATATAATAATGTATATTGATATAAAATTATTTGCATATGTACTCATATTGTTTAAGCCACATGCCTGTTAGTTGGTGGGCTGAAATATATTTAAAGTAATCATTTTGTTGCAAAAGAGGTCACAAGACTGGCAGGTTGTCATTCCTGGGATAACCATATTTCTCAAATGGTCTTAAAATTGTATAGTCAATGGCAGAACTCTGCACTGACACAGTGGAGGATTTGGGAAATACTTTGGAAAATTTTTTCCATCCTTTTATTTAGAGAACAAAAAATCTTAAGTTAGAAGTTCCTAGTAGCTAGTTCATTTGGAATAAAACAACTATGGTATATTACTCCTAAGTCAATGGGTTGTTACCCATAAATCAACAAATCTATCTAACAAAGCAATAAGTAAAAGAACGTTGAATCAGTCCAGGATGGTTCTCATTTATGTAAGAAATCAAGGAATTACAGCTTAAAAGTTACTTTAGGAGAGAGTCTGGCTTATCAAATAGTTCTTAGCATTTTGATTATTTAAAATGTCTTTAGAAATTCAGATGAAAGTTAGAATTTTCCATGTAGTAGTTTGTCAATAAGCTTTTAAACAATGAAATATATATTTTAATTGAAATCATCTTGCCTTCATTTCACTATTATCCTTGAGGTTTACTTATTTCCTTACCTAAGGTCAAGGTACTGAACCGGAAGACCTGAAGATACCATCTACATTAATGGTCTATGAATCTATCTTTATTTTCAATTATCATTAGTGAGCATTCTTAATCACTCAACTTCTGTGGATTAAAAAAACTAAAAGCAAACTTCTAAAAACAATGCAGAACATTATTTTATTTGAGTAAAAACTCAGAAGAGTTTTTGGATATTACAAAAGTTTTCCAATTAAAATGAGCCCAATATGTTATCTGAATTACCTTTGAAATTGCTAAATTCTATGGTGCCAGCAAATGTGGGGGACACATAATGTGGCTACACTCTTTCACTCTTACTTAATGCCAACATGGCATTTTCTTACTGGCGATTACTTCTTTGGGGTCCAATCATTGTACCTCTATGCCTTTTCCACACAGTGTATCACTGATCTTTGAAGTAAGTGAGTACAGAATTTCATTTTCTTAATATTGCACTTTCAGAAAAAATTATCTGATTATGTCTCATACTAGAAGTCATTTCAAAAAGTTAAAAACAAACCCATGTCTACCTAGTTCACCCCTTCAGTTTATTGTCACCATTTATCTGAAGTTTTCCTTTCTTGTGAAGTCTAATATTTCTACCAACTTTAGACTCATTCTCATCAATTACCTTAAAAACAATTACCTTTGTATTGAAGTCAATCATTGAAATTCATGCTAAATATGTAGCACTTAAATAAGACACCGTGTTATATACATTCTTAGAATTTCATTTGTAAAGCTTATTTCATTGCAATACAGATATTTGAATCCTTCTTATGGTGATAGGTGGACGAAAGAAAGATAAATTGGCCGTATTTCTCAATGCAGAGAAATGGGAAAACAAACCACACCAGGATTACAGAGGAAGTATTTTTAAATTACCAACTTTTTTCAAATTAATTTTTTTAAATGTTAGATCCAGGGGGTCCACATGTGTCTTCCTTACATGGACATATTGTGTAGTGGTGGGGATTGGACTTTAGGGGGCCCATTTCCTAGATTACCAATTTTTGAATTGCAGCAATTCCCTTTTTTTTTTTTTTTCCTTCTCTATTTCTAAAGATTTTACTTCTCTTGCGCTGCTTCCCGATCAGCATCTGCCTGGCCAAAATGGAAATGCACACAGTCATCAGGTCAGGATCTTGGGGGAAGTAAGCTTTCCAGTGATTATTTAAGACACACATGGGTGAGCGTGAATCTTTGGGCCGCTTTCCCATCTCTTCCCAACAGCCTGAGGCATGAGGAGCTTTCTCCCCTTCATCACTACCTCGCAGAAAAACCACATTTAACAATTTAAAATGCAGAGGAAGTGATGGTCACATATTTTCTCCTGCTGTTTAGCCCACACAATTTCTAGTTGGTGGGCTGACATCACACTGGCCTTACCAAGCCCTTCACACCTAATTAGGGAAGGAGGACGCTGGTTCTGGGGTTTTGTCCCCACAGGGCCACAGGCGACAGGCCCCACAGATATGTTTTCCAGAGATTCCCGGGATGCTGTATTTTAGCCCCATGAGATCTTTTCTTCCCCTCTGCTCAGGAACATTTTCTCTCCGGATTCCCACCAGCTTCGCAGAACTTTTACCTGAGGTAAAATCGCTGCCGCTCGTCTTCCCGGGGAAAACTCCCGCCTTCCAGAAAGGCACGTGACTTCTGAACAGGAACTCCGCGCTTTTATTAGCCAGACTAGGCCCCGCCCCGCCCCTAAACCGGAACTCAGCGCTTTTACTAGCCAGACAAGGCCCCGCCCCACTCCGTCTTTTGGGTTCTGGGCCCTTCCGCCCACGGTTGTCCGCAATCTTTGGAGCTTGGGCCTGGGGGCAGAGCATGATCCGAGCCCGGGTCCTCGAGTGTGAGCGAAACCTTAGTAGCACATGGAGGAGTGTGACGGTGAATAAGGCGACGGGGAACTCGCTGGGAACTGGGAAGGAGCCGGGGGCGAAAGATCGAGAAGACCTAGCATAGGAATCTGGGCTTCTTGGGGAGCAGCGGCTCCCATGCCTTTAAGCTAGGCCTGGCTAAATGAGACAGGCTTAGAGGGAGTGCAAGGACAGAAACCTTCCAGAGGTGAAGTTGACAGGATTTAGCAATCAGATTCAGGGAAAGAGAAAAGCAAAAAGTAGGAGGAATACCTCAGGGGTCTGGCTATGGGTGGGTCATGCGGAAGAAAGCTTCAGGAGGGGCCGGAAGACAATGAGTTTGAATTGGGACATAGAGATTTGATTCCTTGATTGACAGCCACCCCCTAGCCCAGACGCACACGCACACATTTGAGAGTCACTAAACTCACCCGATGAGGAAGAATGTCCTTTTATCTGTGTTTCTTAACTTCCGTCTTCTTTTCCATGGCACACTTGGCCTTAAACTCTTTCCCAGAAGAACGCAGAAAATAACATGCATTTGTTTATTTTGCAAACGTGTGGGTGTCTTTTGAGTTAGTTGTTGAAATACTCATTGTGAAACGTCAGTGGATAAATCACATTATTTTCTTAAGTTATCGCCTTTGTTCAGGTTTATGCAGTTTGCTTCAGCTATGTAGATTTAATGTTTGGCAATAATCAATTTTAAAGGTATTCACCTGGCATAGAGTTGCATTAATTATTGTGTATTCTTTTATTAAAACCACTTTTAAATTAAATTATTTTTTAAGTTATAAAAATATATTTACGTTCACTGTAACCAGTAAAACCATCTTAAGATATATATATAGAAAAATAATCTCCATTCCTACTCCCAGGTAACCAGTATTAACAGTCTGGGTTTTATCTTTTTACACTTCATTGCATGTTCATATGAATATATGCAGATGTGTGTACACAAAGTTGGTTGATTATATAAAAATGGGCAACTTGCTTTCGTCACTACACAATATGTCATGAACAACTTTCCAGGTCAAGATGTATAATCTAACCCATTTTTCAAATAGCTGCATAATATTTCATAGTGAGTATGTGCCATAATTTATGTCAGTGTTCTACTATGGATAGATTAACAGATTGCTCCAGTTTTTTAGCTTGACAAATAATGCCACAGTAAGAATAATCAAACATATGCTTTTGAATAATTTCTATGGCATAGATTTGTTTTGGCTTGCTGGCTCAAATTGTAGGAGCATTTCAAATTTAATAGATATTGCCAAATTACCTTTGAAAAGTTCATAGCAATTTATATTAACACTGCCTAAGAGGGTTCATTTTCCTGAATATTCAACAGTGCTGAATATATTGCTTTTCAGAAATTTTTGCCAGTCTAATGCATGAAAAATACTGTCTTGTTTTAATTTTTATTTTATTATTTTTTAGAGACAGGGACTTGCTTTTTCACCCAAGTTATGAGCACGGTGGTATGATCATAACTTACTGTAACCTCAAACTCCTGGACTCAAGCACTTCTGCCACAGCATCCCAGGTAATGGGACTACAGGTACACACCACTAATTTTCTTTATTTCTTTTTTTAACTGGTAGACATAAGAGTCTTGCTGTGTTGCTCAAGTTGGTCTCAAACTCCTGGCCTCAAGCACTCCTCCCTCCTCAGCCTCCCAAAGCTCTGGGATTACAGGTGCCAGGTACTGCACCACCATTATCTTGTTTTGATTTGTATTTCTCTGATTAATTCTGGGATTAAACATGTCTTAGATATTTATGAACCCTTTGGATTTCTTCTTCTGTGAATTGCCTAATTATATATGGGCCTGTGTATATGTATACATGTATATAAATATTTGTGTGTATGATATCAAGCAATTTTTTGAGATGACATATGTTTATTTTATTTTTTATTTTAAAAATATGAGGTATAATTCAGGAATTCTTATTGTATGCTATGGGCTATAGCCCATTACTATTATGATTTTTAAAAAAATTTTTATTTGGAAGATGTGGAGTGCAATTCAGGATTAGGTATACAAATGTTCATTATACAGGTACCCTTGTTGATGAGGTGTGCCCCCACCTCCTCTGGCAGTTTCCCACTACTGCTATCCCACCCCTCCATCCCTGGCAGTTTCCAAATACTGCCAATCCCTTTCTTATAGTGAAATCAAGCTATTTTTTTTTTGAGTAGATTTCTTTTTGAAAATCTTATACATAGGCATATTAGTTAAAATAAGGTTTGGCTATATAAATAACAGGAAATTCCAAAACAATATAAAGCTTGTTTACCTTTCATGTAAATGAAGTCCTGATAAGAGACTGATATGGTAGCTCTGTCCCACAAAGGGGAAGGTTAAGGACTAATATGGCAGCTCTGTCCCACAAGGTCCTTTTCTTCCAACTTATTACTGATACTTCTATGTGTGGTCCTTGTTCTCATAGTCTCAGGTGGCACTATCTATGTTTCAGGAAGCAGGATGGAGAAAGGAGTGGAAAAGAGGAGAGGCCAAAGGCACTATGTCTTTTTACATACCTGTAATTTAAATAGTGAAATATGATGGAGACACACACACACACACACACACACACACACGAAATGTTCATGTAGAAAAGTGCATAAAATTATTTTAAGGAAACATCCATGGAGCTTCTATTCAAGTGAAGAAACAAAGCATTGCAAGAATTTCAGAAGCCCTCTGTTCTTTTCCTAATCACAACTTTCCCTAGAGGAAGTCTCCCTCTAGACCTAGAGATTACTATAATCCTGACTTTGTGGTAATCACTGCCTCGCTTTTCTTTAAAGTGTTTCACCAAGTATGTACTTCTAAATGACATAGTTGCTTGTTTTTGAATTTTGTTTGTGTTATTTTGGTTCTTGTTTCTATTCAATGGATGTTGCTGTATATGTATGTTAATTCTATTTCATTGCTGAAGTATATTTTATTGTATAAATATACCTCAATTTATTTATTCATTCTACTGCGGATGAACCTTTGGATTATCATAATTTTGGGCTATTACAAATAATACTGCTATCAATATTCTTGTACATGTATCCTAGTATATGTGTGCTTCTTCAGAATATAAATTCAGGAAAAAAATTTTGGAATGTTGAGTATGCATATCTTCACAGTTATTGAATAATGCCAAACTGTTTTCCAATGTGTTTGTACCAATTTACACTCCCATCAGCAATGTTTGAGTGTTCCTGTTGCTATATATTCATTCTCACCAACCCTTAATAATTTCATACTTTAAAATTTTGAGATCTAGTAGGTGCCCAGTTGTTTAAGGAAGTTTTCCATAAGCTGCCACATGACTCTTTTGCTTATGTCTCATTTGCTAAGCCCTGGTCACATGGTCACACTTAGCTGCAATGAAGGCTAGAAGATGCCATGTTTATTCTGGACAGTCATGCATAACTACAACTTGGAGATTCTACTACTAATCTAAGAAGAGAACAGATATATTGCTTTCTCCACATTAAGGATAATAGTAAAACTGCTAAATTTTGTTTAGTACTTACTATAAGCCAACCACTATTCTAAACAGTTTGCAACAATGGATGAACTACATAAATTTACAAATTACAATCTCCAGTTTATAGAGGAGAAAACCAAGGCATTGAAAGCTTAAGTTTCTTGTCCAAGATTAACTATAAAGTATGAGACAAACTTGTAAACTCAGACTGTCTGACTTCAGACCCCAAGCCCTTAACTAGGCCATACACTCTCTAAAAGGAATATTTGCTTGTCATGTTTTTCAAACATTTTCTCCTTGTAAATTTCTAAAGGTAATTTTCTTTATCTATCTACAGGGAATGTTACCATATCCAACTCATCTGTGTTTTTTTTCTTTTCTCAGTAGATAATGCTTCTGTATTATTATTTCTAAAATTTTACATATGAAGAGAATCTTAGAACAATTACTTTTCCCTGTAAATTTTAATTCATCCTTATTTGTACCATTATGTTCAATCTAAATGGAAATAAAACAAGTTTAGACACACACTTGAATATAAGCTAAGCTGAGGAGCCCTAATGGAAGGCAGGGAAATAAACCTCTACTATCCAGACCAATTCCATACATTTGTAGAAATCTCTTGCAATAATACTGAACTTTATTGTTGTAGTCACATGCCATGCTATTGAGACAATAGTAATAATGTTTAATGTTTGTTGAGAACATACTATGTGCCAGGCATAAGACTGAGCACTGACAATGCAAAAAAATAAGGAAAACAAATCCTTGCCTCTATAAAGCTCACAATCCTTGTCTGAAGTTGCGCTTATTTTTTATTTCTTCAGGCAATTTTAAACACTTCTGCCAGGTTGATATTTCTAAAACAACTAACTGAGACTGTCACTGCCCTGCTCAAATTCTTTAAGCTCTCTGGCACCTGTAGCATAAAGTTTTTAGCATGAAACAACTAACCACTCAACCTCATTTACTGTGGAACCCTGAACCACTGGCCATTTTATGAACATCTTTCAGATTTTTCCCTTTGTTCCTGCTACTTTATTTTATACTCTGATCATATGTTGAAACCCTATTTTTTCTATAAGTTTCAGTTCAATTGTTTTCTGATACTCTTGGTGAGAATTAGTTGTGACCTTTTGTCATTTCTACAATGTTTGTCAATATTCCACTTCGGGCAGCTTTTAAGCTTTGCATTATAATTGTTTTGTTCATGTCTGCCTTTCTCATGACTGTAATCTTCTTGAGATCATGGGCCATGGACCATG